CACACAGAGACAGTCACACACTCACAGGCAGTCACACACTCACACAGAGACAGTCCCACACTCACAGGCAGTCACACACTCACACAGAGACAGTCACACACTCACAGGCAGTCACACAGAGACAGTCACACACTCACAGGCAGTCACACACAGACAGTCACACACTCACACAGACAGTCACACACTCACAGGCAGTCACACACAGACGGTCACACACTCACACAGAGACAGTCACACACTCACACAGAGACACTCACACACTCACAGACACTCACACTGAGACAGTCACACACTCACAGGAAGTCACACACTCACACATAGACAGTCACACACTCACAGGCAGTCACACACTCACACAGAGACAGTCACACACTCACAGGAAGTCACACACTCACACAGAGACACTCACACACTCACAGACACTCACACACTCACACTGACAGTTACACACTCACACAGAGACAGTCACACTTACAGACAGTCACACACTCACACAGAGACAGTCACACACTCACACAGAGACAGTCACACACTCACAGGCAGTCACACACTCACACAGAAACAGTCACACACTCACAGGAAGTCACACACTCACACAGAGACAGTCACACACTCACAGGCAGTCACACACTCACACACAGAGACAGTCCACACGCTCACAGGAAGTCACACACTCACACACAGAGACAGTCCAAGCACTCACACAGAGACAGTCACACACTCACAGGCAGTCACACACTCACTTTAGAGACTGTACACTCACACCTCACACAGGGACAGATCACAAACTCACAGGCAGTCACACACTCACAGAGACAGTCACACACTCACAGGCAGTCACACACTCACACAGAGACAGTCACACACTCACAGGCAGTCACACACTCACACAGAGACAGTCACACACTCACACAGAGACAGTCACACACTCACAGACAGACACAGACAGTCACACACAGACACACTGCTTCTTCCCTCCTGCTTGGAGCTCCTGGAGGCTGGTTGTTGGGGAAGCAGGAATTCCTTCCTGCTTCCCATGTTGCAGTCAGCCGGGGCCTGTAAGCCCCGCCCCCGCCGCATGCTAAGCTCCGCCCCCGTCGCACTAAGCTCCGCCCCCGCCGCACATTTATTTATTTATTTTTTAAATGATCCCGGCCGGCCGTGTGTGAGCTGTGCCGGCCGGCTCCCCCTGCTCCCATGGGGCTCTGTGCGGCCGGAGCTGTCAGCCCAATGATTAGGGCTGTCAGACCGGCCCCAGGTGCCGCGGCCCACCGGGAAATTTCCTGGCATCCCGGTGGGCCAGTCCGGCCCTGCCGATATCCCAGCCAGGAATAGAGTGTGTGAGAGATCGGGTATCTTGGCAAAGTGTTGCTGCTGTGGTTGGGTGGTCGGGGAATGTCCATTTGCTCAGGGTCGTGAGCAGCCAAGGTAATGTTTGCAGTGGGACATAATTTTATGCTTGTTCTAATGCTACCCATGGTTTAGGGTGCCGTGTACATGACCACTCAATAATTCTCCCTCAGTGTATCACCTGGTAGTATTGCAACATGTTTGGTAGGCCCCTCCTGTCTTTAGGTCTGGTAAGCATATGGTAGGCAATAATTTCTTAGCCAATATAAACGCAGTTAACAGTGATCGTAAAGACTGGAAGAATTTTATTAGAATATGTATGGGCAGAGTATTTAATACATAAAGAAGCCTTGGAAGAATATTAATTGAGATGATATTCACCTTACCCAGCCATCTAAAATCGTTTTTTCCCAAGTATCCAAATCCTGACTTATGGCTTTAATCAGTTTAGGGAAATTTGAAGAGTCTAAATGTTTAATGGAGGTTGTCGGATTGACACCCAAGTATTTTATGGACTGTTGGACCCATTGAAAGAGATATTTAGATTGTAGATAAATTTTTGCGTTTTTGGTAAAGTTAGGTTTAAGATTTCGCATTTCTCTATGTTTTTTTAAAAATAAATAATGGAGGGGACCAAATGTCCCCCCCCAGGCCCCCACCCATGAGCAGCAGATGGGGACCCTAATAAATTAAAGGGGGGAACTAATGTCCCCCATGGTCCCCACCCATGAGCGGCGGGTTGGGACCACAAATAAAAAAATAATGGGGGAACCAGAAATAATAAAGTGACTAGCACTCCGCGCTCCAAGATGCCGCCGAAGATCAAGACACCGACCTCACCTGCATAAACACGGACGGAGCTCGCACACAAGAATGCCTCACGGGGAGTCACTTTGAGAAGGCCATGGAAAGAGTGTCAGCAAACCTGATGAATAACTGGAAGGCAACGGTGGACCAAATCCGACAGGAGGTGAGGGACCTCTCCAACAGATCCTCCCAAGTGGAATAGAACTGCCATGACTTAGCCTCCATGCAGGCCGACACAATAGGCCGCATTCAAACCCTACAACAACAAATGGAGAGCATGGAAGCCCGAATGGCGGACTACGAGGATAGAGCACGCCGGAACAATCTGAGGCTGCGGGGGTTTCCGGAATCTGTCCTCCAAGATGACCTACCGCTTTTCGTGAGGGGCCTTCTCCATGCTTATGGGCCAGATATCCCGATGGACATGCTCCTAGTAGACAGAGCACACAGGGTACCGAAGCCCAAGTACTTACCTGACTCCACTGCCCGAGATGTCCTCATCAGGGTACATTTTTACCACATTAAAGAAATAATCCTCAAAACGTACCACAGTAAACCACAGCCACGATGGAAGTCACGACGGAATTAAGAAACCGAGGGCTCAGGTACAGATGGAGATTTCCCACCAAGTTAATCATCACGCGGAATGGGGACACAAGAATCATATCCAAGGGAGTGAAGACACTAGCGGAATGGGGCCCCCTCAACTCCGCACCTAAGGACACTCACCGCTCACCCAAACAAAGTCGCAGACCACAGGCGGACTAACCAACAAACACCAAGAACTGTTAACCATGAGACATCGCAAGTATACTAAATTTAGCTCATGACATGTAGCTACTATTTCGCACAGAATATCTCATGTTTGTTATTATTTTGTTATTGTTTGGTATTTTACTATCATGACTGTTTAAATCCCATGCTGGCAAAAGTCCTCAGATATACTGCAGCGCTCAAATATGAGCCGATAGGGCAGGATAAGTTGAGTAGGTGTAATACACTGTGGCAAGATTGAGCCCTAAACCCTGGGCAATTTAACATTGAGGCTCCATGAGGTTAATGGGTAAATCCCCACAACGCGCTATAATACACAATCTAAAAGAGAGCACAATGCGACCACAGTCTAATTTGTACAGTTTAATAGTGGTCGCATTGGGATTCACAACAAGGCCCCCACACGTAGACAATACAAGAGGTACTGGCCTGAAATGGAGGTGTGAGGCACCCACCTCGAGGGGTCCCCCTCCCATCTTGTATAGGGCGACATAAACACCATAAAATCAGGCAACAATATGTCTCCAAGGGGATTAACCCCAAGGCAGAAGCCCATATGCAAACCTTCATAGGCAAACCAAGCTCCTCTTTGTGGGTGCTGCATACCCCGGGTGGAGACCCACCAATAACCGCCTAATGGTAAACCCCAAAACGACCTCATACCCAGCTGTGCTCAGGCCTCACACCTACACCTCCTATGAAACAATTAATAATCCTACAGTCAGCACTTAATTTCTAACTCACGAGGCACTAGAAGCTATGCTTGATAATTGTTTGACGTTCAATACCCGCTTTGATTTTGCATTGTTTATGTTATGTAAGTTTCTGCATTTCTCAATGATCCATAAAGGAGCCCAGACAGCCACCCGACTGGTAGTCTAGACTTCCATCCCCCCAAGGTGTGACAGACACTCCAGACCTACTGAGGTCGAACCTCAATCCCTTCCACCGACCCTACACCCTATAACCTAACCTTCAGTGAGTACAAGGCCTTCCCACTGCATTCAAATCCCAGGCCAACACAGTATCTCACGCTACAATCAACAATAACCAACATGAAAGTATATTCACACAATGTCAAAGGACTAAACACACCCCACAAAAGACGCGTACTATTGGACGACTTAAAACGCAACAATGCAGACATAGTCTGCATACAAGAAAAACACTTTGTCCACAACCGCACCCCCACATTTGCCGGGAGGGACTACCCCCACCAATTCCACGCAACCCACACCTCCAAATCTAGGGGAGTATCTATCCTTCTTCATAACTCACTCACAGTTGAACCACTACAAACAAAAAAAGACAAACAAGGAAGATTCACAATACTACACTGCCTAATTAATAATCAACCTCTTCTGTTAGTTGGCCTAAACAGCCCAAATGATAATCAACATAATTTCTTACACAAGGTTCTCAACAAAATACCAATCAACACGAACGCCCAAACTTTGATATGTGGAGACCTTAACCACACGATGGACTCCCGCATTGACTCCACAATCCCAGCTGCATCAAACAGACACACCGCACTCGCACGTAACAACAAAGCCTTCACAAAACTACTACAAAATCACGGCCTATATGACGTGTGGAGAACGCTCCACCCAACGGACAGGGAATACACATTCCTCTCGCAGGTCCACAAGACCTATTCCAGAATTGACCACGTCCTCTCATCATGGCTAATCCTCCAATGAGTCGTGGACTGCTCTATAGGCAACATAGTGTGGTCCAACCATGCACCCATCACAGTGACCCTACGAGATCAATACCAACATAGTGGCAAACCCCCATGGCGCCTTAATGACACTCTCTTGACTGATCCTACTTTTGTAACACAATTCACCTGCAACCTGCAAGAGTATTTTAAGCTAAACGACACACCTGAGGTTTCCATAGCATCCCTATGGCAAGCTCACAAAACAGTCATGAGGGGACCGCTAATAAGTCGAGCCTCTTACTTGAAACGACAAAGGGAAAAAGCCTACGCGGACCTTCTGAGACAACTTCGGGACGTAACAAACGCCCATCTCCTAAACCCGTCTGACACACAAGCTAAATCCATTATAGATATCACTAACCAAATAAATACCATGACCCTCCACAAAACGGCCTATATGCTAACAAAACTGAGAATGAAAACGTACACCCAAGGCAACAAGGCAGGGAAACATTTAGCAACGATGCTCAAACAAAAACAAGCAAATTCCAAAATCCCATATCTAGTCAAAAGGTCTGGGGAAAAAATCCATAACCCACAAGATATCAATGACGAGATGGCCGAATACTACCAAACCCTTTACAACCTAAAAAATGACCCTACCGTCCACCAACACACCAAATACGAAATTGACACACTTCTTCAAAAGACAACTCTACCAACACTATCGGAGGCCCAAATCCAAAAAATTCAGGATCCAATCACTGTACAATAAATCCTGGACACTATCCAGGCACTCCCAACAGGGAAATCCCCCAGCCCAGACGGCCTAACAAATTCGTACTATAAGCAATTTGCACCAATCCTGAGCCCATATCTACAAAAACTATTCACCCACACCATTAACACTGGCACTATGCCACAAGAAATGCTCATGGCACACGTTGCCACACCCCCCAACCCAGGGAAACCCCCAGACAGAAGCCAAAACCTAAGCCCAATATCCGTACTAAATACAGATGTAAAACTCATAGCTAAAATCCTCTCAAGCAGACTAGCACCTGTTATCCCGACACTAATTAAAGAGGACCAAGTGGGATTCATGGGAGGCAGACAAGGGGCCGGCGGTACATGCAAAATCATTAACATTATATACGGACTACAGAGGGGAAGGGTCCCTAGCGTATTACTCTCCCTGGACGCAGAGAAGGCATTTGATAGACTCCACTGGCCTTTCCTCCTTGCGGTCCTCCAAAAATTCAAATTCCCAACCCAATTCATATCACTTGTCATGGCACTATACTCGGCCCCGACAGCCCGAGTGGTTAATGGGGGATTCATTTCTAAACCAGTCTCCATTTCCAATGGCTCAAGACAAGGCTGCCCACTCTCCCCCCTACTTTATATATTAGCACTGGAACCCCTGACACAAATGATTAGGGACGACCCGAACATACATGGAATCCAAATCAAAGGACACGAATACAAATTATCCCTGTTTGCAGATGACATCTTACTGACTTTGGAACAACCACATATATCCCTCCCAAACTTCCACAACCTCCTCACCCAATACAGTCACTGCTCATACTATAAGCTAAACACAGCAAAGACCCTTGCCATGGGAATAAATGTCCACACACAAGAGATGGACCAGCTCAAAACCAACTTTACATACGATTGGAGACAAGACCATATCAAATTTTTGGGAGTCAATTTCACACCCACACCCAACACGCTTTTCAAATCAAATTACCTGAAATTACTCGGTGAAATCCGAACACTCATACAAGGGTGGACAGGGAAATATATTTCGTGGGCAGGCCGCATAGCCTCAGTGAAAATGATAGCCCTACAGACTGAGCTCCGCAGGGTGGGGAAAATATTATATAGCCTTCCCATAACCTGCAATTATGCTCAGAACACAGGTAACTTTTTTCTTTGGTTTTTACTATATGTATTGGAGCTGATGTGTACTGTGGTCGTTGATGCTGCCCAGGAGTGATGGGAGTGAGCGCAGGACTTTTCTATTTGTATTCACTTTTTTTTTATCACACAGTTAGGTTACAATGCTGCCGTCCATCCTATGTGTTCCCTATTAAAGGTTAATAAGTATATAGGGGTTTATATAGAACATACCCCCTTCTGTCTTATTAGAGACCTTTGTCAGAAGCTCAAGGAAGCAAGTTGAAGGGTCAGAGTAGGACGGGCTAGGGGCGACTGCCTTGACGTTGGCAGGCGGGCATTCCCTCCAGTGGCCATTGGAGTAACTAAATGACCTCCATTTGTTTAAATATACATAGGGATTAAGGTAACAGGTAACTTTTTTCTTTAAATTGATTATATTGTTTCATAAATTATTCTTATATATACTTGAAATTGGTGGATATATATATATATGTAATAAAGTTACTTGCTATACTCAAAGCACCAAATCTATTCTATTATTGTGCATTTTTATTGATGTGAAATCATTACTTTAAATTTATTATTTTACGTAATGGAGTTGCCTGTAGTATGTGCCTTTTTCCACTTAACTAGTACATCAGCTTTTCTTTGTGAAAATGTGACTTTTATTATGAAAAAGATGCAGTAGTTTACTAGATACACTTGATAAACCTTCTGGTACCCTGCTTTGTATTGCAAATATGTTTCCTCGTACCTTTAGTTTGACTATTATGTTTTACTATAAAAAACTAAAATAAATTTCTCCAGTATGTGATTTATTTTTTTTATTTTTAAATATTGTATTTTGTGTGATGCATAAATCTGAAGTGCATGTGTATATCTGAATAGCAATTAGGGATTATTCTAGTGTTTAATGACGAATAATCTAAATTTTATTAAAGACGGGAGGCGAATATTAACTTTACTCAAATCTTCCAGCAGCAAAAAATTGGTTAACAATTTAAAGTAAAATCAACCAGTCACAGTACAGATATTATATAATAACTTATGGTGAAGTTCCTCCCACTTCCTCTTTCGATGATGCAGCTGCACAAATGAAGTCAACCTTGTAAATGTGAACAATGTCCTCAACCATGTAAACTTGGAAACAATAGCTCAGCTGGAGCCAAAAGACCTCCAGAGGGACAATGTAGAATCTTCACACTAGAAAGAAGAAGAAATATTGTGAAAGAATGGTGACTAATAATCATGGCAATCACGTTAGACAAGCAAAATGTAAGCAAAAATAAGCACTATAAATGTCAGACAATCTGCAGAGTGAGATCAGAACCACAGGAGATAACACATCATCAGAATAAAATACGTGTGAAAATAAATAAAAGTCCAACAAAAGATAAAGTGGAATTGTCAACCCCAGATAGTAGGGCAGGACAAGAAGGGTGGGAAAATATTAGCCTCCTGTCTATAATAAAATTAAGATTATTCGGTCATTAAACACTAGAATAATCCCTAATTTTAGGGCAAGACAGGAGGCTTCATATTCACTTTTTTAATGCCCAGAAGGCAGAGGAAAAAGGGCATTAGAACCAGGATGAAAATAGAAGATAGGAAGGTAACTTCTCTAGAACAGTCTGCATAGACCAAAATATCCAAAAGGGTGCCTCCTGCGAGAAATGCAGAGGAATCCGCAGCACCGCGTACAGAGTGTGCACCAAATGAACTATCAATACTGGAAAGACCAAGTAGCCATCTAATTCAATGAGCAATATTAGCACTTGAGACCGGTCAGTGTGGACGGACATAGGAGATCAAGAGGGGTCCCGAAGGGGGCCGAAGTGGGCTAGTCAGAGTTACATAGTGGTGTAAACAACGTGCCACACATAGAGAGGGTCTATCAGGGAAATACAGATAGAACACAGAGGATGGCAGGGTCTTGGTCCTACGGGAGATGGTAAAACGAACACCCTCGAGTGTGAAAACAAGAGCATGGGCATCAAAGGCCTTGACATCAGACACTCTCCGGAAGGAAACTAAGCAGACGAGTAGGGCAAGTTTAGCAGAAAGTGAAGAACAGGTTTTTTGGAAAGGACAATTAGGAACAAGAGACAAGGAAAACACAAATTGGAACCCGCCCACCAACACCAAAAGAAGGAGATCCCTGGGCAGAGAGGAAAGAGAGGAGGATTACGAATGAAACAGGGGGAAGAGAGAATGCCACTGATGAATACGACACAAAGTGGGATCTTCAATCGAAGTGGCAAAATCTTAGAGGAAGATGAGAAGAAAGTGCTGCATAAAGGTCTCAAATTTGAACCAATAAAATTAAACGTTACATAAATCTAAACAGATTTAAAAGGAACCTTTGTCTTAAATATATATATATATATATTTAAAATCCAACACAGGCAACAAACAGGATTAAAGGAAAAGTCATCTTTCTTTCCACAAAATATGATTTCAGACCCAATAATTGCATTTGAAAAAATCGTTATGTCTGAAGTTAATAAGTTAAAAGATATCAATAAATTTAATAACAAACTGAGCATAAAAGAAAGAAAAGCATTAAAAAATCTAAAGGAGGATAAAAATTTGGTAATTAAACCAGCAGATAAAGGAGGGGGGAATAGTACTTATGTGAAAATGTTACTATGATTTAGAAGCAAAAAGACTTCTGGATGATATAAATACATATAAAAAAAATTTAAGGAGATCCTACAAAAGAGATTAGTAAAAAACATTGGGATTTTTTTAAATAAAGGCCTATCTAAAGAAATTGTTAGTAAAAAAGAATATGATTATCTCAACATTAAATTCCAAAAATCCCTGTGTTTTATTTCCTGCCAAAAATCCATAAAGTTGTGAACAATCCACCAGGGAGACCGATCATCGCAGGCATCGAGGCAGTATCTAGTAGGATATCAGAATATATCGATATCCAACTTCAACCGTTGGTACAGTAAACCAGATCATACATTAAAGATACAACTACAGCAATAAATCTAATTGAAAAGTGCAAATGGGAAAGTAACTTTATACTGGTGACACGTGATGTCACAGCACTTTATAGTAAAATCCCACATGTAAAAGGATGCGAAGCAGTAAGCCACTTTTAGAGAAATCAACATAATTTTTACCAGTTCAGATAGACTTTTTAATTGAAGCATCTATCTTATATTGCAAAATAATAATTTATGGTATGGTGACGTTTTTTTTTATACAGATTAATGGTACGGCCATGGGGACCAAATTTGCTCCCAGTTATGCAAATTTCTTTATGTCATATTGGGAAGAGTCTTATATTTATGGCCAACATGACTGGGAGCAAAACTTAGTCACCTATGGCCGATACATTGATGATATATTTTTCGTATGGAATGGCACTGAAGAGAATTTAGTTAAGTTTCTAGAATTTCTAAACAATAACACATGGGGTATAGAACTTAACAGTGTGTGGAGCCAAAAAGAGGTGATATTTTAAAATTTTAATCTTTTTATAAAAAATTGATTTTTAAAAACGAAAAATCATTTCAAACTGGTCGACATGAACAGTTTTATTGAAAGAGACAGCTGTCACTACTCACCCTGGCTGGAAAATGCGCCTAAAGGGCAGTTTTGTAAGGATTAGGAGGAACTGTACGGATAAAAACACTTATGAAAAACAGTCACTCAGAATAAAACTAGACTTTATACAGAAGGGATATTAAGAAAACGACTTAGAGAAAACAAGAATAGAAATAAAAGAAAGAGATAGGACAGAATTGCTGAAGCATAACTCTAAAAGTAAGAGAAAGAGAAAATAAACCAAGTACCCTTTATATGTGATTCAAGTAGTAATAATAGAAAAGTGAGAAGTATTATCAAACAGAA